AACGGTCCACATGAAATGTTTTCTTTATATCATACAAATGTTTTCAAAGAAGAAAAGAAACGTTTTTCTAACATCTTTAAAATGTCATTGATAAGATATAAGCAGAACATTTTAAGAATGTTGTTAAAATATTGTGTACAAATGTCACAAAAAACATTTAAAAAATGTTTTTAACAAAACTATTAAAATAACATTTTTTGAATGTTTTTCAAAATGTTTAAAAAACATCTTACAAACAGTCCGCATGTTATGTTTTCCTGATATCATAAGAATGTTTTCAAAAAAGAGGAGAAACGTTTTTAGAACATCTTTTAAATGTAATTGATATGATATAAAAAGAAGATTTTAAGAATGTTGTTAGAATATTGTAATCCTTACATTAAGACGTTGTACAAATGTCAAAAAAAAACATTTCAAAAACGTTATAAACAAAACAATTAAAATAACATTTTTGAATGTTTTTCAAAATGTTTAAAAAACATCTTACAAACAGTCCACATGTAATGTTTTCGTGATATCATAATTATGTTTTCAAAGAAGAAAAGAAACGTTTTTCTATCATCATTAAAATGTCATTGATATGATATAAGCAGAACATTTTAAGAATGTTGTTAAAATATTGTAATTCTTACATTAAGACGTCTTACAAATGTCACAAAAAACATTTCAAAAATGTTTTTAACAAAACTATTAAAATAACATGTTTTGAATGTTTTTCAAAATGTTTAAAAACATCTTACAAACAGTCCACATGTAATGTTTTCCTGATATCATAAGAATGTTTTCAAAAAAGAAGAGAAACGTTTTTACAAAGTACATCTTTTAAATGTAATTGATATGATATAAGCAGAACATTTTAAGAATGTTGTTAAAATATTGTAATCCTTACATTAAGACGTTGTACAAATGTAAAAAAAAAACATTTCAAAAACGTTATAAACAAAACAATTAAAATAACATTTTTTAACGTTTTTCAAAATGTTTAAAAAAGATCTTACAAACGGTCCAAATGAAATGTTTTCTTTATATCATACAAATGTTTTCAAAGAAGAAAAGAAACGTTTTTCTAACATCCTTAGAATGTCATTGATATGATATAAGCAGAACATTTTAAGAATGTTGTTAAAATTTTGTAATCCTCACATTAAGACGTTTTACAAATGTCACAAAAAAACATTTAAAAAACGTTATAAACAAAACAATAAAATAACATTTTTGAATGTTTTCAAAATGTTTAAAAAACATCTTACAAACGGTCCACATGAAATGTTTTCTTTAGATCATACAAATGTTTTCAAAGAAGAAAAGAAACGTTTTTCTAACATCTTTAAAATGTCATTGATAAGATATAAGCAGAACATTTTAAGAATGTTGTTAAAATGTTGTTATCCTTAGATTAAGACGTTGTACAAATGTCACAAAAAACAATTCAAAAACGTTTTTAACAAAACAAGTAATATAACATTTTTTGAATGTTTTTCAAAAGGTTTAAAAAATATCTTACAAACAGTCCACATGTAACGTTTTCGTGATATCATAATAATGTTTTCAAAAAAGAAGAGAAACGTTTTTACAACATCTTTTAAATGTTATAAATATGATCTAACAAAAACATTCTAAAAATGTTGTAAAAATATTGTAATCCTTACATTTAGACGTTGTACAAATATTTAAAAAAAAACATTTAAAAAACGTTATAAACAAAACAATTAAAATAACATTTTGTTAACGTTTTTCAAAATGTTTAAAAAAGATCTTACAAATGGTCCAAATGAAATGTTTTCTTTATATCATACAAATGTTTTCAAAGAAGAAAAGAAACGTTTTTCTAACATCCTTAGATTGTCATTGATATGATATAACCAGAACATTTTAAGAACGTTGTTAAAATTTTGTAATCCTCACATTAAGACGTTGTACAAATGTCACAAAAAACATTTTAAAAATGTTATAAACAAAACAATTAAAATAACATTTTGAATGTTTTTCAAAAGGTTTAAAAAACATCTTACAAACGGTCCACATGAAATGTTTTCTTTATATCAAAGAAGAAAAGAAACGTTTTTCTAACATCTTTAAAATGTCATTGATAAGATATAAGCAGAACATTTTAAGAATGTTGTTAAAATGTTGTTATCCTTAGATTAAGACGTTGTACAAATGTCACAAAAAACAATTCAAAAACGTTTTTAACAAAACAAGTAAAATAACATTTTTTGAATGTTTTTCAAAAGGTTTAAAAAACATCTTACAAACAGTCCACATGTAATGTTTTCGTGATATCATAATAATGTTTTCAAAAAAGAAGAGAAACGTTTTTACAACATCTTTTAAATGTTATAAATATGATATAACAAAAACATTTTAAAAATGTTGTAAAAATATTGTAATCCTTACATTAAGACGTTGTACAAATATCACAAAAAACATTTCAAAAACGTTTTTATCAAAACAATTTAAAATCATTTTGTTAACGTTTTTCACAATGTTTAAAAAATATCTTACAAACAGTCCACATGTAATGTTTTCGTGATATCATAATAACGTTTTCAAAGAAGAAGAGAAACGTTTTTACAACATCTTTTAAATGCAATTAATATGATATAAGCAGAACATTTTAAGAATGTTGTTAAAATGTTGTTTTCCTTAGATTAAGACGTTGTACAAATGTCACAAAAAACAATTCAAAAACGTTTTTAACAAAACAAATAAAATGACATTTTAAAAAAAAAAAAATTTAAAATTCATACAGTCTACATGTAATGTTTTCGTGATATCATAAGAATGTTTCAAGGAAGAAAAGAAACATTTTCGCCACATCTTTTTAATGTTATATACATACAATATAATAAATAATACGATATTTTTAAAACATCGTAATAATTAAACTTAAACAAGGTACAGAAGCTATAAAATTTAGTTTCAAATTTGTTCTAAACATAGGCCTACTATTTTTGAACCAATGTAACAATGATAATTAAAGTAAAACAATCAATAATAAAAACATCATGGGCGTTCGAGAATCAAAACGTTCACACCAAACATAACGAAAGTGAAAACAAATAAACATTTTGTTTGTTGTTGACTGTTGACATATGTCCGTATTGACATTTTTCGTTCCCTAGCTCCCCCCCCCCCCGAATCCGCAGTATTTTTCCCAGCCGCCCCTCCCCCACCCCCAGCCTTGTTTTATTGACTTTTACGTGTAAATCGACTAAAACACACACATTTCTCAGTGAAATGAACAATTTTTCGTAACCTGGATATATAGCCTCCTACAGGGGCGGATACAGCCCTCATCCCCCCCCCCGCCCTAAGCCAAAAAAAAAAAAGTGCTCCTAACCCCCCCCCCCCCCCCCCCCCCCCCCCCTCCCCCCCCCGCTTATTTGCTGGCTGGCTAATTCGCCGCTAAATATTTTCTCAAGATTTGCCCCACCCTTTTTCCGCCGGCTGGATCCGCCCCTAGTAGGAGGATATATATCCAGGTTTTTACGAAAAATTGTTTATTTCACTGTGAAATGTTGCGCGTTTTAATTGTTTCATGTGTTAAAGTAAATAAAGAATGTCAAAAGAATGCCTGGAGGGGACCCCATTTTCATTTTTTGTTTAAAACCATTTTTTAAACCGGGCCTGTTAACCCCCCCCCCCCCCCTCCCCCGTGGATCCGCGCCTGGTCTCCAATGCAACCTCTGTTCCGCAAAACAATTGTGGTTTTTGAGATATTCTTTTCATGGCTATATTTCTGGCATCTTTAATATTCCTATCTTTGTTCTTTCTTTAACCATTTTCATATTGTGTAATTTATTTCAGTTTCTTTAATACTTCTTCATAATATTGATGGGTTTTTGCGGGGGAGGGGATGGTCAGTCACTTACTGCATGTTTTTGTTTTTATATGAGAAGGCATAAATAGGCACGATATTAAAAAAACGATCGTGTGCATTGCCACGTCTTTGACTTCTTGACAACATTAAATAAAGGGCTGAGTTCTTGCATGGAGGGGTCAGAAAGTTTGCAAAATGTGACGATAAAGAAACGTAATAAGTTACACTCTTTTAGGGACTCCTTCAAAACAATTCGACCTTAAACTGTTCAAAACCCCATTTTTTAGCCAGGAAATAATGTTGGCGATGGTTGCTCAATCATCCGACGTAACATGTTGTTTGTTTTGGGAACATTGAGTAGTAATTAAAAGAATTTCCAAAGATTAATATAGATTAATGTTTTTGTGTAAATACAAATAGGTTCAAAAATCGGATTCGGACAATTTACTGGCCCTCCAAACTCAACTTTCCCTATAAGTATACTTATGTTGTAGAATTAAGATGTTTATAAAATCTGTCTGTCTTAATTTGAATTATCAGAAGAATTAGCTAAATCCTCTATTGTTTTAATAACCTTGAACTGATCCAATAAGATGGAATTGTAACAATTTGTTTCTCTAATTCTCCAAGAGTTTTAAATCATAATTGAATGACATCTAAAGAAACGAAGCTGTATACTGAAATACAAAAGTCTATACCACCCTTCAAGACCATGACAACAAAGCAATATACCAGGCAAGTTAGTATACTTTCTTACAAAACTGACAAATTCGATTACAAAATTTATAATTTTTAAAAGGATTTTGATCGTTTAGTAGTATTATATTGAATTTCCCACATTATTTTCAGTCATGATGTTGCAGTGTTTAAAAAAAAATCTATTTCTTGCATGAATATAAATTATACAGATTATTATCATATTATTATTATCAATATGCTACGGTTTCAGTATTCGCTTTTTATGGTTGATATTAGTTGTCTTTATGTTATTCTGAACTATTATATGTTATTCATTTGTGTATTCATGTATTCGAATATGTTACTCAGAGATTGATTTTCAATAAAATGGCCTGTCGGAGGGTCACAAACTGAAGAAAAGAAGACTGGAACTCAAGTTAGGTTTGCTGCCATCTGGTGGTAGAGAACGAAATGTTTGATTTCAATTTCAAATATCCATTGATGTCAACTGTCAACTCTGCCATTTCGCCAGATATCATATATCTTCCTTTAAAACCCACAGTATGGGGAAAGGTTAGATTAACACCAGGAAAGAAGAATTGTAAGGGTATTCGAGGGCAATAATTTAACAAAGCGAGAAAGGATCGATGCAGTATTTACCAACCAAGCATAGCTCAGACTAGTACAAGTATGAGTACGAGTCCCACACATTAACTTATGTGTGGGAAAAAATAGTCGGTCTGAAGACAATGCTGCACTGGATCTGGATCGCTAGCTGCATGCTGGAGGCTGCCGGCTGGAACTACTTTAAAGATCATCATTTTGTCAAGGAAGTGAGTAATAAATTTCTATACTAAATTTTTATAGATCTAGTAAATCTTACAGATAAATGGGCGCTAGCGCGCTACTCTAGACCACACATTTCTACTTCTAGATTCTAGGTTAGGCCTAGGCCCTATAGGCCTACAAATTATACAGGCCTAGAGTCTACTTTAACTCCGGGAAGCTCCAACACCGGCGCCGCAGGCGTCGGAGCTTCGGTTGGTTTTGTTGGTTTCTCGTGTGGGCTAGTATTTAGTAAAACAGCCGATTGGGTGATATTATCATTAAATAGGTATCTGCAAAGGGAGTATGGTAGCGCGCCCAGTATTCGGTCTATTCCCAGTATTCGGTCAGACAGCCGTTTCAACAGATGTAACAATTCAAAAAATAATTTATGAGCCACGAAACTTGCACAAATCAGGCAGTTAAACAACTTTTCTTAACTCTCAAAATTAAATCAGATTTAGGGCCCCGGAAAGATCTCCAACTTAGCTCGAAATTGGTCAGTGTCGCACAACTTTCCGCACTTTCACGTTCTCTTAGCACATGCGCTAACATGCATAGCCATATGTAGAAGTCTATTGCGAAACAACTACGTGTGCTGTCCAACCAAAAAAATTCCTTTTTTTTTTTACGAGGGCTCTTTTCAGATTTTCCCTTAAAAAAATAGATTTTCTAGCCCCCCTTAATTATTTTGCGGTGGCTATTTTGGAGCTCAGGGGGGCTTTTTTTTTTTAAAGGTTGTATTTTTTTTAAACGCGGTTTTACCTAATTAAATTCCAAGCAAAGGCAAATATAGATACAATTGTAGCGTACATATGTCATGTAGAGTATTGCAGACATTCAGATAGACCTACCCATGATTTATTCACTTTGTGTTAAACGTGTGGCTTTATGATTTACATATACATGTAACTAAAACTTGCCAAAAGGAGTGTTTTGTTTAACTGTTCGTTTTTCATATCCTAAGAAAATATTATCACTGACACGCGGGCTAGGAATTAATTTTTTTATGGGGGCTACTTTTCCCCATTGCCTAAAAAAAAACCAAGGGGCTACTTCCTTAAAGGGATCCGGTAACTTTGTCTCAGATTCTGAAACAAAATTCTGGATTTAGCTCATGATGCAATGATATTTATAAACCTGTAGGTCAGTCAGGAACCCCATGACTTTTACCAGCCGATCGCCTGTCTAATTATCAAGATATTTATGATTGGAATTACAAATTTTGAAAACCGTTCGCCTGACGGTTTTCATAACACTACAGTCTATTGGGGAAAACGAGTATGGTAAAACCGGTCACTCAAGGATTTTTACTTTTTGGAGGCACTTCTTGATCATTTTGAAGCGCGATTTTTGTAGGGCTTCAATATTACACCATATCACAGACACTAATAACATGTAGGGCCGTGTATCTCAGATTTAACAATGTTAAACGATCCCTTTAAAGCCGTATTGTAAGCTGTAACAATAAGTTGTGTTTTTCCTTAGCCATCATACTACTAGCAACCAAATTGGTAGGTAATATGTTATTTAGTCTTTTTTTCTGTCCCAAATTTAATTGTTATCATGGACAATGCAATCCCATTAAAAAAAATGTAGACCAACTCCCTTTAAAATTGTGTTATTTAGACCATTTATTCAGTCTACTTCTTCCCTAACTCCAGGGAGCACCAGAGCCTGCATCGGAAATCGATTCAAACAGTGGGGAGGGGCACATTTTTTTCGAAATGTAAAGAAGTCAGGGAATAATTTTCCTCAAATTTTTTGATTAGCAATTTCAGCCGATGGATAAATATTTCAAATGAAACTCTGTACATTTCTATGGAAGAAAATTGCTACACAAAAGATATTTTGTATAGCAGTCATGCAAAAATGCATAGCAAATTGCGATGCGATACCAGGAAAATTATTCCCTGGAAGTAGTAATTACATTTTGACTGACAACGTTTTTCGACTCCTCTGGGCATCAGGACAACCACTTATACACTGTAATTATAATTTGAAGACGTCTTTGAAAGGAAAAAAGACGATTCCTCGTCCTTACCCAATTTATCCCACGTTGTGTATCGTTGATTAAAGGGATCGTTTAACAATGTTAAATCTGAGATGCATGGCCCTACGTGTTATCAGTGTCTGTGACATGGTGTTATATTCAGGGGCGTCTCTAGACCTTTTTCAGTGTCGGGGTGTAGAGGCCAACGATTACCGACAAAACTAGCCCCCAATTACCGACAAAATTAAATGTCCCAATATTTACAAATTTAAACCTATATACCCGGGGCCAAAGGCTAAATTGTATTTCCTAAGGACTATCTATAGTACTTGCGTACAGTATGCGCAAATGGTCATTTTCCTCTACGACATAAATATACAAATTATTTCGTCAACTTAGTCAGCATTATAGCTGTATATTTTAATGCAGGCGCGTAGCTAGGATCTTATTTTAGGGAGGGGCGGTAGTGAGCAAGCGATTCACTCAAAGCGCGCTCATTAGAGGGTGTGGGTGATAGGCCTCCCGCGCGAAGGGCAGAAGCTTAGACGTTTCCTTAAATTATTAGGAAAAGGAGACGATTTATTGTACCGTTCTCGACTGTTAATCCTTGTCTGAATGAACTTCCCCCCTCTCGCGCGAAGCACGAAAGCTTTGGCGTTTCATTAAATTATTATAAAAAGAAGACGATTTGCTGTACTGTTCTCGACTGTTAATCCTTATCTGAATTCATTTTCTCCCCCTTCCGCGCAAAGCGCGGTAAAGCTTTGACATTTCATTAAATTATGAGAAAAAGCAGACGATTGGGTGTACTGTTCTTGACTCTTAATCCTTATCTGAATTCAGTTCCCCCCTCCCGCGAAGTTTTGGCGTGTCATTAAATTATTAGAGAAAGTAGACGATTTGCTGTACCGTTCTCGACTGTTAATCCTTATCTGAATTCATTTTCTCCCCCTCCCGCGCAAAGCGAGGAAGCTTTGACGTTTCATTAAATTATGAGAAAAAGCAGACGATTGGGTAGTCTAGTTCTGGACCCTATATTGATTTTTGTTATTCGCCGACTATAAGCGTTAAGCCGAGTGATGCGATCCTTAGTGATCGCGAGTCCCCAACTAACTGCGCTAGACCAATTGCTTAATGTGACGTCAAGGGTCAAAAGTTCACAAACAAGTGATTCATAAATATTCATGAAGTTACTGTCAATCAAACTTCGCTCGCGATGTTTTACGTTTTACACGTGGGATTCTAGTCCAGAAAGGGTCAAAAGATCAAGCCTTATTACGTAATTTTGATAGCGCCCAATTATGCATAAACATACACGTACTGCTGTGTGCTACAGGTGTATGTGACATTTCGAACTCCCCTTGCCTCATGCACAGATGCCTAGCTAACTATACTTCGCTGCGCGAAACGCTTTCATTTAGCGTTCGGCAGGATTCAACGTTGTCTATTTGCAAGACCCTATTACAAAGCTATAAGGGTCATTTTTAAAGACGTGCACCGGAAATTGATAAATATTGGAAAATATATAACTTTAAATAATAATTGTGCATTATTGTTGTCATTTTAAATATATTTTGTTTAGATTTCAAATCAATATTTCCACTTTTTTGTGAAATTATCAGCATGCGTTTATGACGATAGACTAGGCCTTCAACACGCTGATATAAAATAAAGAGGGTCAAAGTCAAATATCATGCTTATATATGTCCATGCTTAGTTTTTGAGATGCCTGCCACTACCAAACTAAGCACAAGTTATTTATTAGAAAGATTCTATCATATCACACAATGACAATATTTCAGAAATTTTAATTTTTTATTGGCCCTTTTGACGTATTTTGTTAATAATATTTCAAGGGAACCTTGAAACCACCATTAGTTTCGAGTCATATTAAAGTAGATCAAATTATCTACATTTTGATACCAATCTCAACGGAATTGAAATTAATTAACAACGCAATATTAAAACGTTATTACCCATATATCAAAATTTGAAGTGCCTTTTTTCATAAGTTTCCAGGAAATTGTGCATGTAAAAATGTGAACTGCATACTCGAGGTGAAGGGGAATTGGGAGAAAGAGGAAGAAAAGGGGAAGGAGACAAGAATAGAAGGGGGAAGACAGAGAGGCGGAACTGATAAGAAACACTATATAGGGAGAAGACAAGGAGAAGGGAAAAAAGGTAAATTAAAAAGGGAGAAGTGCTGATTAAAAGTCAAGGTATTAACCTTACATGAGTGTTGCACATCATTAACCTACATTTATGTTTCCCTTCATATAGTACTTATATAATACTGGTTTGTGCAACTTTATGATTTCCTTAAAAATAACTTGCAAAGCAAGTCATAATCATCCATTTTATGGCATTGTAATACTTGTCATCATAGGAAGCCATGCAGTGGCATGTTATTATTGTGTTTATTCCACTATGAATTAATAACCCTAAAAGTCTTCCAGTTACGGTGGCAAGTATGTAATGTTCTTGTACAGAGGAGTACCCCCCTCCCCTCTGCATGAGCAATTTCATTGCAATTTGCATTGAACCAAACTTCTATTTTTGTTTAATACAGATTTTTTTGTTTCCCTTTTTTTTTAAATTCCATATTAAAACAAAAAAATCATGAAAGTTGCGTAGAAATGGCTTGCATTTCACACATCTGATAATGTGTTTGAATTCAACCTGAAATTGGCATTTTCCAATAAGAAAGTACATCTCCAAAGTATAAGTCTGAATAATACAATTATAAACTGAACTAGAATGTATGATGACATAAAATGTGTTACGAAGTCATCCATTACTGGTAAAATAAATCGTCATTCACAATAGAGCAGTTAAATGATAATCTCAGATTAACAAAAAAGACAAATCCACGAGAGTATTGGAAATTTTGGAAAACCAAAAAAAGTAATAAGGCCTCACGAATGATTTTGTACATCTTTTGTAATTTGAATGTTGCTCAAGTTAAAACAGGTGCACTAAGTTCACCAACCCGAAATAGTGTAAACATTGGACATG